CTTAAATAGTGGTTAGGTATGCATGGGTAGACAGGCCAAGTGGTCACAATAAAATACAGCTTTTAATTCAACAAATATAATACAAGAGTCAGCAGCTATATATAATTAGTTCTACTGAATGACTATAAACTTCCATTTAAAACCATAACCTTTTGGGTGGACTTTATTAAGCCAGCTTTTTTCTATCTATGATTAAGCACATATGAATTCTTGCTATGCTTATTCACTAAAATAGATTGATAGATCGAGAAATAAGCAGCCAACTCTCTCTTCACTGCTGACTATATAGAATTAAATATTATTTTCATTGCAGCTCATGTTTATTGCATTTGACTGATTTGCATTTAAAGAAACACAGGAATACTCCATAGTGCCTGTGTGACTGTTTAGGTTCCTGGCCGGTTTACTCTCCTTTTTTTCCTACACTGTGCTGGTCTTGCCGTGGCTGGCCCCGCCTCCATGGCTGAGATCATCAGTCTTGATGATCTAAACCAATCCAATGCTTTCCCATGGGAACGCATTAGGAACCTATTGCACATGCACGACTAAACTCCGTGCTGGCCAATCAGCATCTCCTGATCCGCCAATCAATGCAGCTCTATGAGGAACGTTCTCCATTCAGAGGGTGCAAATTGTGCCACAGGAAGCACTGCTAGTGGCCGTCTGAGTTACTAGGAGAGAGGTGTTACTAGGTGGCACTGTAAATGCTGCCTTTTCTTTGAAATGATTCACACAACATGTAGTCCTGACCCTATAGTGTTAAAACCACCATCTAGCCCACACTGGTGACCCATGCCCCAATAAATATAGTAAAATCTTACTTGTATTCAAGTCTGTAGCTGCTGCCTCTGCCCCTGATCTGCCTGCTTTTCTTTTCTTTGAAAAGGCAGCGTTTACATTGGAAAAGCCTGCAGGGACAGGCTATAGACAACAACCACTAAATTAAGCCTTACTTGGTCTGGCGACTATAGTGTCCCTTTAAGATTTTACACATTTAAAATAACAGGCCTACAATTACCCCACACCCAAACACCTGCAAAAGGATCATAATATGGAAACACATGACACACGGGGAACAGCTACCTACTACAGACACCAAACTCTCGGAACTGATACACCAAAGGTAGCTCCGTCCAATAGAATCAATGAGATGTAATAAATGCTGAACCTTTTCACTGCATCTATTGTGAAGATTACCCTTCCCTTACTCATCATTCTGTATCCCATAATACCTTGTGATATAATTGAAAATAAAGAATTTACAAAAAAAATAAAAATAACAGGCCTTTTCTCAAAAATTATTATTGGAAATTGGTTCCAATATTGATAGTTATTTTGGCACTGAAAGAAGCAGGAGATCGTAATTTAATTTTGTGACTGCGTGTAATCAATAATTTATTTTTACTATTTCCAAAGCATGTTCCTTCATTCTACAATTAACTGCTAAAGACAGTAATGAACAACCCCAAATAGTTTTTCGGGTGACTTATTGTTTCTTTGCAAATGAATACTCCAAGCACCATAACTACTAAAGCCTTCTGGAAGTACTCTATCTGAGCGAAGCCTAGCAATGCAGGGCTTGGCTCACTGGCAGAAAGCAAACAAGCCGTACAATATAGGGTTTAGCTTAGTAGCTTCCAGCTCACTGAAGGCTGCAGTAGACCTACTAAAAAGATTTGTCTACTTACAATAGTGGTTATTGTGCCAAAAAAATGAATTGGACTCATTTGGACATTATTGCTGTCTGAGTATTGCAAATGGAGTTTTTCACTAAACAGGGAATTGTAGAGTTAACAAAATAACCGCAAAACAACGGAACATAAGAAATTCTCAGAATCTGTTACTTCTTTTGTCTTTTTTTCTCAAATCCTGGGTTGGTAATCAACTTTGACAGACAATATTTATTGGGATTTAATCCACTCCAGCTAAATCAACCTACCTTGGGTAAAAGAAGTGACATATAATGACTCCGCCTTGATGAATCACGCCCGATCCACTTTAAAATGGCATCAAACACTACATCTTCTTGCTTGATATTGAGTTCATCTTTATCTATGATATCAATTAATTCCTCCACTGATAGCTCCAAGAATTCTTCAGATACTTTCACCATTTCTTCAAAGTTGTGGAGGATGTACATATAGGCCTCCTGGTGCAGCTTAGGGCAGTAGTAATGGTCTGTAAACCTGTACATTCCAATGCAATTTTCCATGCACAGCTGAGACTTGAGGAAATCACAGCACTCTCTGACAATACCCATTACATTGAACTGATCCGCAGCAATCAAGAGTTCTTCTACATTGTGAACAGTAACGGGTACTGTTCTGGTGTAGGCATACTCTATTAGTAGTTTCATCATACAAGGAGACACACCTGGAATACTGTAAACCTTTTTCTCAGTGGTATTCCATTCACTGGTAAATAAGGCTCTGTTGGATGAAAAAATGAGGTAATGGCATAATAGTACAAATTTAAGGTATCGTTTTAGAACTTATTTGGTGTTTTTTCATTTAACAGTTAGTTAACTTTAATGTTATATGTCTGGCAGCAAACAATAAAATACATACATACACACATACACAAACAAACATACAAAACGCAACGTGATAAAGTTACAGGAACACAATTTCCATGACTGTAGACTACATTCTGATTGGTGTTCAGAATCAAAATAATTCATCATCTTTATTATAGATAAGTGAACCTCTTTTTGATCTATTTTGATTTCAGTTTGAGTTGGTGCTTCTTTTTTTCAAAAATTTGGAACATGTGATGTGATTTCCTATATCTGCTTACAAAAACAGACAAGACTGAGTAGAGCATGGCAAAGAAGAAGTGTTCACCATGAATAAATATGTTTTTGGAGACCTGGAGAAGGGGGAGTTGGCGGCCAGGAGACAAGGATAGGTTAACACACCTATCAGGTTCCCAATCAGGAAGTATCATCAAGCAACTCCTACTGCACCACCAATGAACTCTTTGGGACATTTGTATTTAAGGGGGATCTTTGGGAGGGAGAGATAGGATGTACCAGGCATTAACTACATTATTGTATTACATTTCAGTTATTGGTCCCTGACGAAGTCCTCTGTGGAGGATGAAATGCGTAGGGCCAATTCTGGTTTTGTCTTTATTCAACTTTTTATCAATTTTACTGTTATATGCCAATAAATCCTTTTTCTGAATTGGAGTTCCTGAATCTTTCTAATTGGGACCACCAGCAGGGAAGGCCACAACCCCCAGTGCAAACAGGGGAGGCACCCTGATGGCTCATATATTCAATCCAACTTGTGAGTGTAACCTTAAAGTATCTTCCTATTCAATAACAAAACAATATTACCCTATGTTTTGTTTTATTTATCTTTTGTAGTGGTAACAGCTGAATCCCTCAAACTGCATATTTTTGTCTATAACTAAATATTTTTGGGCCCCACACTGCTGCTAGTAAACCCTCACCATTGGAAATCTGTTAGTTAAGTTAGAGTTAAAGAATCACTATAGTCAACATATAAAAGCAAGAAAGACAGGTCCCCTAGCCTTCTTTCTTGCTTTTATATGAACTTGCCATAAAAAAAATAAAATAAAAAAAAATCAAATCACTTTTTAATAATAAAACCTTAGTTCCAGCGCTGAGCCCCCCCTAGGCCACGCCCCCGTTTCCGTCAAAATGACGAAATCGCAGGGCCCAATAGGACGCTGCACCAATCGCGTTCTTCATAGAGCGTCATTGAATGCCGCCCTATGAAGAAACTCAGCGCTCAACCGTGCATGTGCGCGGAATGCGCGTTCGTGAGCTGTCTGACTGACAGCTTAGCTCGCTTTCTATACCCGCCCCCTCCTCTAACAAACTGTGTGTTTGCATACAAACACTAATATATAGAGAGATAACACAAATAGTAAAAAATTAAAGACATACACACACTCTCTCCATCCATATCCATCCATCCATATGCATCCATATCATATATATCCATCCATCCATCTCCCTCCATCCCCATTCATATCCATCCATCCCCATCCATATCCATCCATCCCCATCAATATCCATCCCTATATATCCATCCATCCATATATATCCCTCCCTATCCATCCCTCCCTCCCTCCCTCCCTCCCTATCAATCCATTCCTCCCTCCCTATCCATCCATCCCTCCCTATCCATCCATCCATCCATCCCTCCCTCCCTATCCATATCCATCTGATATAGAGGGATGGATGGATAGGGAGGGAGGGAGGGATGGATGGATAGGGAAGGAGGTAGGGATGGATGGATGGATGGGGAGGGAAGGAGGGTGGGATGGATAAGGAGGGAAGGGTAGGGAGGGATATGGATGGATGGAAATGGATGGATGGATAGGGATGGATGGATGGATGGCTAGGGAGGGAAGGATGGATTAATGGATGGATAGGGAGGGAGGGATGGATGGATGGGGTGGGATGGATGGATGGATAGGGAGGGATGGATGGATAGGGAGGGACTGATGGATGGATAGGGAGGGATGGATAGGGAGGGGTGGATGGATAGGGAGAGATGGATAGATGGATAGATAGGGATGATGGATAGGGATGGGTGGATGGATAGATATGGATGGATAGGGTTGGATGGATCCATCCCTCACTCACACTCACCCGCCCCCACTCACAATCACTCAGTCACCTGCCCACACTCACAATCACACACTCAGTCACTCACAAACCCACACTCAGTCACCCTCCCACACTCAATCACCAGCCCACACTCACAATCACTCACTCAGTCACCCGCCCACACTCACTAACCTACACTTACCTGCCAACCCACACTCACCCCATCACCCAGCCCCACTCACAATCACTCAGTCATCCACCCACACTCACAATCACACACTCAGTCACCCGCCCACACTCAGTCACTCACTAACCCACACTCACAATCATTCACTCAGTCACTCACTAACCCACACTCAGTCACTCTCTAACCCACACTCACAATCACTCACTCACTGACACACACTCAGGCACTCACTAACCCACACTCAGTCACCTGTCCACACTCATAATCACTCACTCACTAACCCACACTCACTCAAACTCACACTCAGTCTCTCTCACATGCACTCAGTCTCTCTCTCACACACTCATCTATTACAGTCTCTCACACACTCACTGTCTCTCACACTCACACACTCTCTCACACTCAATCTAAATTTTTAAAATAAGTCTACTTACAGTTTGAAGTCAGGAGATCTCTGCCTTCTGCCTTCAGCTTGTCAGCTCCAGCTGACTCCCAAGCTGCTGCTGACAGGCTCTGGGAGACAGGATGCTCATGCACAGTGCTGCACAGAGCTGCCCTGTGCTCTGCAGACAGCAGATCTGAGTGGATGGAGGCGTATTATGCCTCCATCAACTCGGAAGTCCCTCTGGTGGCAGTCTGAGTGACTGCTACCAGAGGTGTTCCTAGCTTTCAATGTAAACACTGTATTTTCTCAGAAAATACAGTGTTTATATGGGAAAGGCTGCAGGGAGCTATATATCTCACCTGAACAACCTCATTAAGCTGAAGTTGTTCAGGTGACTATAGTGTCCCTTTAAGTTTAACCCTGCAATGGAAACATTGCAGTTTCTTTACATTGCTTTACATTGCAGGCAGGGCCGATCTGGGGCAAATACACTGGGTGCACAGCGCCCAGGCGCTCTGTAGATAGAGGCACATCAGTGTGCTAGGCTCGGCCTCTTAATGCTCATATTCACCTCATGTATTAGGCTCCACTCATTACACTCACCTGGGACCAACAGGAATCAGGATCCCCCCCCCCTCTTCCTCGTCCAAGATAAGACTCAGGGAGGGGGAAATAAATTAGTGTTTTTTTCTTCATCCCTTATCTCCCCAACTGCAGCCCTTGTGCACCACTACAACCCCTACTCCCCCTACTACAGCACCCATACCCTCACTCCCTAATTGCAGCCCCTACTACAATCCTCTAACCCTACTTCAGCCCTCAAACCTCTCCACTACAGTCCCTTATTCCCACAGCAGCCCCTATCCCCAAATGTAATTCCAATACTCCTCTACCTTCCAAATGCAGCCCCTACTACAGCCCCTAACTCCCTTCTACTGTCCCCTACAGTTACTGCAGCCCCTCTCCCACACTACAGTCCCTACCCCCATATGTAGCTCCCAGGGCCATCTTTTACGCAGCTGCCCCGTTTGCCCTCTACCGGCAACAATGTCTTTTAGAGTCGACGATCCCAAAATAAATTGTTGTGGGCAGCTGTCTTTGTGTGTCAATATGTCTGTATGTGTGTATGTCTGTCAGTGTCTGTGTATATAAGTGTTTCAGTATGTCTGTCTGTCTGTATGTATGTGTGCCAGCATGTCTGTGTGTGTGTGAGTCTGTCAGTGTCTGTGTGGTTCAGTATGTCTGTGTGTATGTGTGTTTCACTATGGCTGGCTGTGCGTGTCTCTGTGTCAGTACTTCTGTCAGTATGTGTCTGTGGATCTGTATGTTGTCCATGTGTGTTTATGTGTGT